AAAAAAAAAATACATCTTTAAACAGTAATTTGACATTATTTCAACCACACACATTGTTTAATAAAATAATATTACACGCAAATCCAAAACTTTTCCTTATTTTTTGACCACACATTTTCCTATCAATACACTATTCAAAAATGCATTTTTATGAAAATAATGTGGCTCAAACAAGGGCTTAGTCTTCTAGCATAGTGCTCTTCATTGTAGATTTGAACGCAGATCTTCAGGAGTCTAACCATTGCTTCTCATTTTTCCTCTTTTATGGTAACTTTATTTTTAGCATTTAGAGTAGTTATAGGTAGATTCTATGCACAAATAAAGTTCATTTAGCCACAAAGGACTGAAAAAGGATGCAAGTTTGCTTCTCCAAATTGTTAGCTTAGGTTACTTGTCTGGTGTTGCACTTGTCTGTGTGGAAGCATGTAGCTTATGTACTGGCAAATATATGGAAGGTTATCGTCCGCTAATTAATAGACATCATGATTTATGAGTCTGTAGGTTTCTTGTAATGCTACTTTGCTAACATTCTTCTTGGCTTTTTTTTTTGTATAAAGTTATGCAGCAGTGACTGATTTAGCTCAGTGCTTGTGTTATATCTGACCGGGATTTTGAATTCCAATGTTTTTATCAATTCAAAATTATGAATGTTAGTTTTATTGATCAACAACCTGATGTATGTTAGCAGTGGTTACACCCATAATGCAGGCTGTAAGAACTGTGGTTCCATTTTCTGGGTCTTCTTTATCCTGCAGACAGGTTCTTGATTCTTTTTATCCTATAGATCAAATATCCTTGCTCTGAAATGCAAAATATAAGTTTTATTACTTATATGTCTTAAATGATTGGTCTGCTATGAATTCCAGTTGACAAAGCTATGATAACGTTATATAAGAAAATGAAGATTTAGCCTATGTTCGTCAAACATTATTAGTAACTTAAAAAGCTACTTCTACTACCCATCCATTTTACTCTCGAGTCAAAGTCAAACTTTGATTTTAACTACACATTTAGAACTACTACTCATTATTATCCCCATATTTCATGGTCCCTACCACTATTCCCTCTATAAAGTTCCTAAAAGGTACTAATAATCAATACCAGCAGAGGCTTAGTTACGATTAGAAATCCACACACAATTTTCTCCTCTACCTAATAATAAAAGATATTGTCAGTATTTTTATCATCTAATGGGCAGAGACATCTCATTTTATCTTATGAATTGGTTTTTCGATCAGAGTTTTGAAGGACTTTTTATGATGCTGCCTCATGGTTCTTTGAGATGATCTTCAAAATCACATGTATATTATGTTTTTTGCCAGTTTTTCGAGGCTAATGTGTTCGCTTGCTGCACAGCTGTCTATTTGTTCTGGAGAAGAACTTTTAAATTCTATGATTCCTGAATTTAGCTGGGAATTGGTTTTGCAGGAAAAGGCTTTTCCAGATGATTAATGATGTCCCAACTGTATTTGAAGTTGTGACGGGAACTGTTAAGCAGGTAAAGGACCAAGTTACTGCTCCCAATAACAATGGCAAGAATAAATCTAGTGGGAGAGTGGTAAGTGCTGTTCTATATAACCTCGTTTTCAAAATTTTATTAACATGGTTTGCTTATGCATGGTCTGTTTTTGCATCTTTTAGCCATCTCGGCAATCTGAACCCCAGCACAAGGCCGTGAAGATGCCTGCCCCAAAAGAAGATGATGACAGTGGGGAGGAGGAAGAAGAAGATGATGAACAGGGAGCAACCCTCTGCGGAGCTTGTGGGGATAACTATGGTGACGATGAATTCTGGATTTGTTGTGATATCTGTGAGAGATGGTTCCATGGAAAGTGCGTGAAGATTACACCTGCAAAAGCCGAGCATATCAAACAATACAAGTGCCCTGGTTGCAGTAGCAAGAGGGCTAAAGTTTAATCTGTCTTTTTGAACTTGAAGGTCAACATCAGTCAAGTGGGGGATTAGAAGTTTGGAACCTTTAGTTTAACATTTCAAAGTTAAAAACTTTCAAAGTCAGTGGCACATGTTAAGTTTATTAAGTAGAGTGTCTGCTAATAGGATCTGGTTTTTATGAACGACTTTGACATTTCTTTCTTTCTTTTTCTTTTTCATTTTTTTTT